GCTTTCCTCTTCCCCTGTCTGCTCCATCACGAGCTGGTCGTCCTCAAACGTGCTGCGAGGGTGAGAGCTCCGAGCACGTGAGCTCCGAAGATGTGAGCTCCGAGGGTGTGAGCCGCCTTCCTCTTCCCCTGTCTGCTCCATCACGAGTTGGTCGTCGTTCACAGTCTTCTGCGCTTCTTTTGTCAAGCCGGTTGCGAACCTCTGTAGCCAGTTTTGGACGTGTTGCAGATGTGTGTAATTTCGTAAAACATCACGGGCGACATCGAGTACTATTTCGTGCGGAACCTGGCACGCGCGCAAACTTAATTGGGCGGCTCCTACTCGAATTAAGTACTTGACTAAAGACCCCACCTCTGACATCTTGGGTGCTGCGGTCACCATCAACCGGAACCGGAAAGCCGTGCTAGCAACCTGCCGAAGCGCCTCCAATGAGGACAACTCTGTCACGGCGCTATTCAAAGACTCTGCGAACCGTGCCTCCACTTCGTAACCCAACAATGCACGTGTCTGTTTCCCAGTCACTGAGTCGCATAACCAGATTTTTAACACTCCATTCGTCACTGATGTGCCGGGTAAACTTCGAACCACCCGTTGCCCCGCTTCGGCTGTGTTCGCTGCTGGGAACGCATCCGCGGCGTAACTGAAACATCCCGCCGCCAGTGGCAACGATAGCACGCTAGTTCCAGCAGCAGCCCGCAGCCCCAACATTTTTTTAACCCAGCTTTCAGCAGCGGCCCAAATCAGCCAAAATTTCTTCTGTAATGCGGCTCACCCGGTCGGACACGACCACGAGAACCATCAGGTGATCGGGACCATCAACTGGTGTGCGGCTGCCATCACGAAGAGTCGCAGTGCGTCTCCGTGGATTTAGATTATGCCTGTCTGGCCGGTACTCGTGAGTCGCACGTTTCGTGAGTCGCACGTTTCGTGAGTCGCACGTTTCGTGAGTCGCACGTTTCGTGAGTCGCACGTTTCGTGAGTCGCACGTTTCGTGATGTGTAGGCGGTGATGACAGATACGGCAAGGATCCTGTAATGATGTGGATCCTTCGGCTGACGTTTCGAGAATTTGCGAATTTGTTAATAAAAGAAAAGAATCTCGACCGGCGCGAATTTTTTTAGCAACTGATGAAGTGTTTGGCTGCGGCGGTCGCGGAGTCGTCTCCTGGTGTGGTTTCGTTGGCTCGAGTAATAATGTTTGTGTTTTATAACGGACACTCGCTCGACGTGGTTCGCGTGGCTGCGGCGATGAAGAAAATGTTCGCGGAGGGTTTGGCCAAGGAGACGGCGGAGCTGTTGTGTGGCCTGAATGATATGTCTCTGGGATTTCCGGACGACGGTGGGTGGGGGGGTGTACTGGGATGCTTGTAAAAACGAAGAGGATGAAGCCAGCAAGGACAGCTGGCGGGATGCACGGCGTCCGAACCCGTCAGTCGCGGGTTCGAATCAGGCGGCCGCGGAGCAAGCTGTGCACGATTTGGCTGCGTGGTTGGTGCGAAGCCCGCGACTCCAAGCATGTCTGCAGGTGGCGCTCTCGACCCTTCGAAAAAATCTGGTGCGGCTGGCTGGTGGCGGCCGCCGAGGCGGTGCGTTCTCCGGCCCAGCCCCCCGGAGTCGGTGGCCCTTTGAAACGCTGCAAAGCCCCGAGGCCTGCGTGCTTGCCGATTCGGCCTGGGATGACTGGCACGGACCCGACCACTTCCTGCGCAGCTATCGGTGTCTACACAGCTTCGTCGAAGGTGAGGCGTTTATCGAGATACCCGCCGCACACAGACGCTGCCGCTCCTCTCAAAAACTCGCCGAAGCCGCTGCTCACCACCTGAGATATCCGCAACTTGTTTAATTCCACCCGCTCACCTCTGACCGACCTCTCAGTGCGCGGGGCGGATCACGAGCACGCGGGGCGGAACATTCACGAGAAGGTGCCTGCCTGCCTGCCTGCCTGCCTGCAGGGGATGGCTGCCTGCTGCGGGGAATCTCGCCCTGTACACGGTCATGAGGAGTTTGAGGTGATGAGCCCTGCGACCGGCGGTGAGAATAGTTGTGATGGAGCTAGCAAGAGCGATGGGGGGGGCGGGCAGCCGCCAGCCAGCGGATGGTGAGACGCACGCGTGTCGCCAGCTTGACCTCCCAGGACTAGGGTGACGCACCAGCACCTAGACAGACATCTTCTACCAACGACTTAGTCATCCGCTTCAAAAACTCGCGGCACAACTTTTTCTCCGAGACAACTTTCTAGGTCTCCAAACAGGCCCACTAAACAGGTTTCTTAAGTTAGCTGTAACACTGAAAAACTTCATTCTCAGAGGTCTCTCATTACCCCTACCCCGTCGAGGGCAATCTTCGTTCGGGCGCCGGGCGGGTCTTGCTGCGGCGACCTCGCGCAGGAGCCGCCCGCTCACCGAGCGCGACAGTCCCCAAATTGAGGTGACAGACCTGTGGGAGCAGTCGCTGGATTTTTTGTACCGACACCGCGGCTACGGCGTGCGGCTGTGACCGAAAGTACCAAACAACAACTGCACCAAACAACAACTGCTGCGCGAACTTGTACACGGCCTCTGCGGCGATGAGGTCTGCGGCGTTTGTCTTTGTGGCGTTTGTCTTTGTGGCGGCTGCCCCTTCTGTCCTCACCTACAAGCCACCATAGCCCTTCTCTCGGCCTAGACCTAGTCGGAAAGGACTACCCGGCTAGTCCCGCACGTGCGAACATCGCGGCACTGCACGGCCGGGATCGCCGCCGTTCAGGTACGACCACCCCGTTACTTCCCCGACCCCAACCCCGCAGGGGA